GGATGTGTTTGGTGGCTAACAGAGTGAAGTGATGAGTTGGAACACCAAACAACAATGCTGTTGGAACAATAAAAAGGAGTTGAGATGTGTGAGCATCAGTGGGCTAAGGGCCTACAGAAATAAAGTGCGCTACAAAAAGTAACAACTTAAAGCACTCAAGATTTCATAAATTACTCGTTTACACATATTTTAATGGGTTAGGTTATCTACTAAGCATTCTCATCGAGGCTGCAATGACTGATTAGAGTATTTTTCATACGCTGCCACACCTTTATTTTGTTTACCAATAATTTATTTCAGGTTTTATTGACGCAAATCTACTCAAATGGAGCGACGAACTCCTCCATAAAATGAACTTGTTGATGAAAAATGATTCTGAATTGCGTTAGCTATACATTTAGAACTTTCTGATTTTTTTTACCCTCCATTCCCACTGCCTTACGCCTCTTTGCGTTGTTTCCTCGATTACTTGATCTAAAAAAAAATAAAGCTAATTGTTCCAATTACGTGACTTTTTTCCTTTTACACATTTTAAGCACAATAAAATAACTACTGAACAATTACACAAATACATAATGAATATAAATGCAAAGGAAATTTCATATATAACTGTCAATGTCCATGGTCCCCTGCGCATTCCCCTCCATCTAGATCTTCTCAAAAACCTTGAGGATTCTGCGCTGGAAGAGGAAATAGTGAAGGAAAGTATTAAAATCGCTATCAATGAACATTTAGGATGGTCCAATCATCTTGATATCACCTTTGGAAGCTGCAAAACTTCTGGGTCCAGCACTGAGCGCGCTACTACACAAGTTTGTGAGGCTAATATCTCACTAGAGGATCTTGGAATCCGCATTAAGGCAATTCAGGCAGCCTATGACAATGTTATACAACAAGCAGCAACATTGAAAGACCTCCTATCTCTCTCTCAACAAGAACAGGAAAAGATGGAAGAGAAAGCCAGCGAAAAAAATGTAAAAGAATACACAGAGGACTTAAATGTCGGTGATGCTGTAGAAAAAGTAGGGGTATCGCAAGCACAATGGAATATTATGAAGGAGCGTGATGCGGTTATGCTGACCTTGCTGGAATCTGTGTTGGGAAGCCCGACAAACATAATAGATGCTGCATGTCAGATAGAAAACGAAGATGAATCCCTGCGCTCAGTACAGGGTGAAAAACTGAAACAAGGTTCATTTTCTTCAGAAAAACCTCTATTGGAAGGAAATTCCTGGCAAAGCAATGATAACTTCCATTTGATGACAAATAATGAAACCACAATGAAAGACTACACAAGTATGGGGTACATGCCATTGTGAGCTGTAGAATATTGTTGTAGGTAGGGAAAAATAGAAGAAAAATGGCAGAGGGGAAGGGCCACTTCAGATATACTTTCATCTCATTTCCTTTGTATTTTCTCATAAGATCTACCTTCAAGAGTTCACCTATTTTTTTTTTAGATTTTTTCTCAAATTCAAGCGGTGCAACTTTTTCAATTCAATATTTGGTCTTCTTTATATTAGTGTTATCATTTTTCTTCATGGTGAGGCCTAAAGAATTCTCTTTTATCTTTCAGACTTCACATCGCTTTACGTGCGTGAGAAGTGTGAGTAACGCACGTCTGTTTGTTGGGCATATCTAATCGTGGCGAAGGCCCTACCTCACACTTAAATACATAGTAAAGATAAAAAGACATAACCTTACATATTACAAAGTGATTCAAGTCTGCATCGGGTAACCTAAATTGCTTGAATAGTGGTCGAAAGTAGATTCAGTGCTGATGCATGTCAACAACAAATCGGGTGTTCAAACAGCACCCTCCACATCTGCATCCTCTCGTACATCTTTACCTGCATATGCCCACGAAGTCTTTTCACGTGCGTCTCCTTCCCTTGTCAAAATCCGCGTCGATCAGCTGCTTCCATTTACCACGCAGCGCGCACAGCAACGCATTGAGGCTCAAAAGAAAATTTTCGCCACCACCCCGCTGACCGCGCTTCAAGCGGCTCACAAGCGGGGGATTCGCGACGTCGTTCAGCGTCTCCGCATCACCAAGTCCGTCCGTAACGTCAAGGTGCACCACACCGCCTCCGCCGCGGGCCCCCACCCCCGCGATGCGCTCCCACAGAATAATGGGGTGGTGGGATCTCTGTGCATGCCTCTTACCACCTGCTGCCCCGTGCCCGTCTCCCCGTCCGTGGGGCCGGACCCCAACGGCCATCGCGCATCATCCGCTCTGGGGCTCACCGGGGCCGTGGATGGGCTTGTGACACTTTGGGACGTTGACACCCACCGGCCTCTCGCGAGTGCGGCGGCCTTCAAGGGCAATCAGTGGGCTCGCGTGCGCGCGCTCGAGGCCCACCCAACGGAGCCGATATTCTTCACCGCTACGATGTTCGACCGCACAGTGAGCGCGTGGCGCATTAGCTATACCAATAATGACCTCACAGTGAACGAAGAGGAAAGGAAGGGAGGAGGGGAGGGGCTCTCCCTGGAGAGGATTACGCCGAGTGCGGCCACTGAAGAGGAAGGGGCGCATGTCGCGGGCATTAACCGCATCGCTGTGGATCCCAGCGGGGCGGTGCTTGCGAGCACCGGCGACGACGCGACGCTTCGGCTGTGGGATGTCCGCCACTGGGGCCAGGTGTTGATGATCCAAGACGGCTATGAAGGAGCCAGGGGGGTACTGGGGGTGGCCTTCCACCCCGACGGCGCGCTCCTCGCCACGACGGACCGGGGAGGGCGGGTCGTGGCCTGGGATACGCGCACAGGCCACCACGCCTTCACAACGGCTGGCCACAGCGGCGGACATCTTGCCCGTGCGACCTGCGTAGCCTGGTCGCCCTGCGGTATCCGTTTCGCCTCGGGTGGCGCCGACGCGGTTATCCATCTTTTTGATGCGCGGATGCTTTACCGCAAACAGCAAGCACTGTCTGCGGTGAAAAGAAGCAACTCCAGCAGCGCTGCGCCCTTTGCCTTCCTCGGCCACGAGGACGTCGTGAGCTCCGTTTCGTTCTACGCGAATCCTTATCCCGACGGTCGTGGCGGAGCCTCGACGGGCGCCAGCCCCCTTCTCCCCTTGGCGCTGGTCTCGACCTCGCTCGATCATACAATGCGGTTCTGGGATATGGATACGGGGCTCTGCGTGCACACCCTCGACGCCGGCGTCCCCCTCTACGCGCACTGTCGTCCTTTCCGCGCCGCTGCAGGGGCTAAAAAACAGGGCGAGAATTCTGAAGCCTGCTCGTCGGCAGCCATTCTGGGGGTAGGCCATAGCAAATACTGGTTTCTGTGGGATGTCGTCAGTGCGTTGCATGAGGAAACTTTTAAGGCAGTGATAAAGGATACCGACTCCGCCGCGGCGGTGCATCATCTTGAGGGCCTTCTCAGTGAACAGGGTTATACACCATACGGCAGTGAAGCGTTAGGGACGAAACACATTGATAATATAGAAGAGAATGATGATGATGAAGAGATGCTGTATCTCATGCGCAAGCCAGACAATGCGAAAATGGGTACAATTGGAGGAAAAAAAGAAGACAATTTCAAAGACAACAATGAGAGTAGCGACGATGAAATGGCACTTCTGCGTAAATAAAACAGACTAAACCCATCTACACTGAAATCATGAGAGAGCTTGGACTTTATTCAAATTGTCATCTTGACAAACTCATCGGATTGAATCAAACAGAATTTCTTCTGTATTTAAGTTATCCTCTGTTCGAGGTTTCATAAGTATAACCTATCTTTAGTTGACTCAACTGAAACTTGATGCTTAGTTTTATTTTCGCACTTTTCTTTTTATTCTTACAGGTTTCACTTCATGAATTCAAAGGGAACAGAAATCTACCCAAATAATTAAAGTGTTATAGTGCAAATTGGAACTTTCTCCATCTATACTTCTATAACATAATATAAAGCAATGTCTATGTGTCCGCCTCGAGCCCCAACGCCCCATATGGATCCTGATATCTCATATTATACAATCGGGAGCCTCTCCATCCCGCATGACTCTGTGGCGGACATTAGGGCACAGGGTTCTGCGAGAGAATTTGACATTCTGGAGTCTATTCTTTTTCTGGTGAATGCCTCGGAGAGGTTTGAAGCGCAAGGGAACCTTGCGGAGAGCGTAAAGAGTGATGAGACCGCCTTGATGCTTCGCAAAGCGCATGAGAAATCTATCGCTCAGGAAGCACTGAAGGAAAAGCTCACGGTCATGCATCCCAGCAGGAAATCGTCAATCGACTCGCTACCCACAACGCTCAGCAAGCACGCGACTGCTGCTGTTCTTCGCTGCAATCGCTACGCCGTGGCTGAGTTTCAGCGCTATCGTTACGGTACTGCACTTTTTTTCCTGCGAAAGGCGCTCTTCTTAACATCTGATAATAACACTGAAGTACACGAGGCCACATTAAAGGAATTTGACGATGACCCCGAGTCTTTCACATCTACGGACTCAGAACTGGTAAACGGCAGCCACACCCTACCTACCTGTGAGGGCTTAAATAACAGTATGATAAAAACTAACACCACAGAAGTCGATACATACGGACTGGAGAAAGGAGATAATAACTACAGACAAAACGCCAACACCATTGCATTGCCACCAAATCTTTTCACAGAAAACGATACCAATGAGCGGATTCGACTGCGCGCTGCCACTTTTAACAATCTGGGGTGCCTGGAACGCCAACGTGGTCGTCTCGAGACCTCTCTCAAGTACTTCAACCACACGCTTTACCTGCAATTCTCCCTGCTATCCCCACACGAGGCCTCGTTGTTGTCAGACCTACAGTTGCTTTCCTATCGCGCCTCGGTCGCCTCGGCATGCCTAAACACCTGTAATGTCCTGCACATCCTGGGGCGATACTCTCAGGCCGTACTCGCCTGTGAACGTGCGGTGCAGACGCTGAGGGAGTGCCCACTGGAGCTGTGCGACGTACTCCACACTAATGTTGCCAACGGAGATTCACCACCTCCTGTACTCGATACAGGCGTACTTGCAGAGCTGCGAGTAGCGGCAGTACTGAAGATTACAGCACTTCATAATTTAAGTGTATCCCTACGCCGTCGCGGCGAGCCTGGCGACGTTGCATCCGCTATGCTTGCCGAGGCCGAAGCCTATGAACTGTGCAAACGTTATGGCCTAATTAACCAGGATTACCAGACTGTTGAAGCTGCCTTAAAAGGACTGAAGAAAGGCAGCAATTCATTCTCGAAAATCACTACCCAGTTCGACTCGCATCATGGTGTGAAACCAACAGTAATAAGTGTGAATTCCACCAGTGAAGATACAAGCAAAGATACTCTGAATATCACTAGCGTGCCAAATATTCTCCCAGAGTTGAAAGACGCTGCTAATATTATCACCTCTGCTGCGCCAAAAGAGCACAAAGGAGCAGCAACTCCGAAGAAAGATAGTCTGAAAAAAATTCCACGCCCACGCGTCGTGGCTGCGGTTCCGCAGTTGAAGCTGTCGCTGCTGCAGACGTCCTCCCAGGCAACCCCACACGACTCCCAATCCTCTTTCCTCTCTCGATCCCTGAAGGAGGACAAAGCGACCGTGCTGCGTGGCCGGGCCCGCCCCCCTGAGTCGATAGTGCACTCGACCCCCCCTACCGACCCCCCG